GGGGGGGGGGGGGGGGGGGGGGGGGGGAGGAAAGGGGGAGGACAAGGGGGACGTGGCCCCCCCCCCCCCCCCCCCCCCCCAAAGAGTATCTGATGTATCCCCTCTTTCCCTCTTCTTCTTCCTTAGAAACAGTATGAGAAACAAAACGAGACAACACCAAGTGGGTTTCCATCTCTGTACCCTACGAATTATGGTAAAATTCTCCTCGTCTATACATGTCTATACATTATATATATTTCGCCCTTTTCCCTACTTTTTAATACTGTGTCACCCTTAGCAAAATCCTAGAACCGCTAGTGAGGCTACAATTTATTCGTATTAGAATCACAACAAAGACGTTTAGAGGGGTTAAAGTGTAATCTGCTGTCCCTCCTTTTGATTGATCAGTTTGACACCCGATAATGACAGTTTACATTAAAGCAAAGGTCACAAGGTCAATCATACACAGAAATCAACAGAACACCAGCTTTCAGTGATATTATAATTTATTGAAAAATAGAACGGTATTTATGTCAGTCACCATATCTCTACACTGACATTTCCATCAACGAAGAAACTGAATTATTTTAAGGCCATGTCACATTATGGTTTGTCAACGTTAAGCATGTCAGTCATTTTTTTTTTTTTGCGGCCAGACCTGCTTGGAGAAGCAAAAATAGACATATACAGTGCTATCCGGAGTAATGCTCATTTTTAAATCTTTGTGTGATTTTGAATTGAAGTGTTTTAATTAAGAGCACATTGTATTGTTAATTTATAAACATTTATACCAAAATTGCATTTCATATGCTCCTACACGTAGAAACAATCCTCACCTCTGTAAGTCCCTTAGTCCATTATTTTGAATTCACTATGCGTATTCTGTCTCACTTCCATAAATTATGTTTGTGATAAGAATCTATTGAAACAATTACGTAAGTCTTGAAACTATATATTTGCAACGTTTTACATCTAGTATTTTTACACCGTACGTGTAATTTAAATTAACTGCCGATTTTGCAAAGGTGCTAACAATAAATAGCAAAGCCTGCCGTCTTGTCAGAAATACAAAACAGGTGATTACATGTCATTAATGTACAAACTATGTACAATTGAGATTGGAACGCTGGTGCTCCCTCAGTTAAAGAAGTTTTGCTTGAGCTTATTTTTTTTTTGTGATAGGCACAGTTCAGAAAGACATGCTGTACAAGAAGAGTTTCAGGACATACTTTCACAGACGTTTCATTGTTCTTGCTAGGAACTCTTTCACACGTCGTAAGGCAATGGTATAAACTCTTTTTTAAAAGCCAGAATGCTAATACTACTCTACCAGGGCCAGTTGTTATACCTTTGGACCAATCAGCATCTACTGTCTACTATGTTGTGAGACTGCGTTGAAGCGTTGGCTAGTTCGGACACTGTCCATTTGGGGTTATGTCATTCCCCTTGGATTGTTGTGGGATAAGAGTTTTCAGTTTCACTTTTTCATGCTCGTATTGGCTCTGTGTTTCCCATGCACCCTGTAATCAAACAATGGAAAAGGAGAACTGAATGGGAGGATAAGGAGGCAGCCATGTGTTATCGCATATAGTAAAAGCATTGGCACTATGAACTACCTTATCTTCAAGCGCATCCACCAAATTCTTCTCGTTTTTTTTATTTATTTATTTTTTATTTTTATTTATTTATTTATTATTATTATTATATTTTTTTTTTTTTGCAAATAGTTCCCACTAAGAATCGCAACAGCATCACTCTGAGCGAAAATTATCAAGAAATGTTCGCTAATAGACAGAGTATCTTGCATCTTACAAAAACGATTCACACCAAAATAGAGAGAAAAATCAATAGGGATTTTAACAGTGGACGCACTTTCTTGCTAAGATAGTTCAAAGCCAAGGTTAAAAGTTAGCAATCACCAGGTAGAAATGTGTAACACCAAAAGCATATATCTAATATAAAAAGCGTGCATACCAGCTGCGATCACATTTTCTTTCACTTAGGTTAGTTGCCTGAGAGTATCTACTATAGAAGGCACACGAAGGAAGGACGGTTGAGAGAACGTGCTTTTTCATACCACCCCATTAAGACACATGAATACCCTGGATTCGAATAGGACCCATGTCCAAGACGTCGGTCATTTGAAAATGGCCAATGTGAAAAATGTCAGCGTTCCAATATCATGGCTCGTATTTATAATTTAAATATAAGGTGTATATATTATATTGCAAGTGTTATGTTCGCTTTAAATATATATATCCACATATAAATATAGTGATATATGAATACATGGTGTTACACATGCCGGTTAATGAATAGATATTTGCAATTTTAAGACGCACAGTTGGATATTATCTGAGCAAATAATAAATATATTGTATCTACAAAGTACCTTTAAAAGATTTTAAACTCACAATGAAAAAAATAACATATCCGCATCAAAATCGCATATGCCTTTTTTGCTCATGAAAAACAGCCGTCATTTATTTGACTTGGTCATAATTTTTTCCACTTAAACATACGATATTATTAATATGCACTTTGATTATGATTATTTATAAGAAAAAGAAAGGAACCGAAAAGAAGTGGGCATTCAGCAGTTATGAAAGTATAGGAGTTGCCACCTATTGCACAAATATTTTTTGTGAAATGATTTTTGAAATTGTGTCCTTTTCTTTTCAAAAGTGGGAAAAGACCAAAATTGCCTTTATAAAACCAACCAAAAGCCGATTTAAATATGGAAATAGGTATTTACAATAATTAACATGTACATAATCAGGCTAGTTTTTTAAAGCATATAAATATAACAATAAACAACCAAACAGTTGGACAAAGCGACATTCTCTGACGCGAAAGATGTACCAGAAGCAACAGAACTCTGCTTAAACTTTTGGCGAGTTCTCAAAAAGTGTGTCATTTCCTTCAGGATACTGTGCAGAAATCAATTTTCTTAATATCATTTATTTATTTATAATAAAGTTGTGTTTTCAGGGCCATTCGGTTTGATACTACCGTTAGACTTATTACTTCTAATACTTCTTTCGCTGGCTCTAAGAGCGCCACTTCGCAAAGAAAACCCCGTGCTATGGGTTCGAAGACTACTATTAAAAGTACCGCGTCTGCTTACTGGAATTTGAATTCGGAACACCCTTTTGAAGATCAAGACCAACTCCTTTCGGAACATCTTCCCCGTGATACAATATATATAAAAGTTACATGCATAGTGGGCCATTCCAAAGTATTGGACCAAGGTTTTTATAGCAGTATACTTCAGATGTGCCTGCCATTTTTGGTCTAAGTGAATTTCTTCATCTGATAAGGTTGGATCGCCTTGCTGAAAAACGGCATACAGATTATAGACTATTGTCACTGGCAGTGTTGTGAAAATTAGGAAAAAAGACACGGCAAGAAGCATGAAAGTGGTAGTCGAAGTCCTTCGTCCTTTCCGTGACTGCAGTTGAATTTTCTCATTCTCTGAAAGTTTCCGAGCCTCGTGTATCACTAGAATATTGAAAATCAGCACCAAGAGAGGCACCACTGCGAATATTAAGATCTCTGTGACCCAGGACCACACACTCCATACCGAACCGACACCTCCAATCAGCGTCTCGCCTCTGACGTCACAGTCGTCCGCTTTCGAGACGTATGTCCAAAAGTAACCCTGCATTCCATCGATCAATAGACAGACCACCGTGATTGAAACGATCACTTTGATGGCGAGGGACTTCGTGCATATCTTGTCCCGTTTAAAAGGGTGACACACCGCCAAATACCGCTCGATGGTGAACGCCAGAACGAACATTGGCGACATGTGCTGGGTCCACATGAAGACGATGGCGAAAATCTGGCATGCTCCGTTTGCATTAAAAACCTTGTGCCCCCATATATAGTGGATTTCGTACAGCATATGGAGTAACAAAAAACACAAGTCTGAGAGAGCCAATGCAGCGAGATAGCATCCAGACGAATGCTGCATTCTTCGCTGTATCCATACGATAAAGGCTAAAAAGTTCCCTGATAATCCAAATATATAATAAACAATCGGTACCCATTGTTCTAGCGTGATTTTTAGAGGTAAATGTACCTGATATATGTCGATTTCAGATCTGCTTACACTTCCATTTGGGTCAGGTGTAATGTCAGAGCCATTGGTAACGTTGTTGATACTCCACGTTTGGTTACTGCCAAAAAAGTCGTCTGTTCTATTGTCAATTGGCACCATTCCCGCTTCTGAAACATTGACAGGAAGCGACATATTCCATCCAGTGAAGTTATATGCTACGTCCATCTTGCCAGCTCAGTGAACCTGTAACACATAAAGAAGAAAAATGCTGGTAAAAATAAAGCTAAGTGGCACTGGTGCCATATGACGTATCATGTATGTCAATGTTTAAGTATATACCAGTGATGCACAGTATTAAGCCCAACTCACACCGCAAGATGTACGCTGAGCTACCGGACACACGGTCCTGCTAATGTTTTCGCCTTGGGGAAAGGTGACGCCAAAGAGATACATACCTTGTATCTCAGCTTACAAATGCCCGCAGTTGGCAGCATAGCTTTTGCTGCACAAAAAACCACATAAATCTTTTAACTGTGTTCGTTAAATATGATAGTCTGAAGCACCAGTTGTTGAACTAAGGCAAGAAAAAAAATTCCAAAAACAGATCTTTGTGAACAGCAGGGATTGGCATTACTTGTTAAAAAGGTTTACGGCGAATCTATATCATATCACGATTGAGATACACGTGTATCCCCAGCGCATGTTTCGGTTCAGCGGTGTTGATTTCATTGGGGCCAATGGACACAACAAACCTTTCAATGAATTAACTTCCGACCTACATGGTGTGAGGTGTTTCATACAGTGAACCCAAGATACCAGATATCATGACAAATCGATTGGGACATGAACCTTAATGATGCCAATGTTAACTTACCCCTTAATGTGGACATTTTCGATGCATTGGGATTGATTACATATGGGATTATGCCATCAAAAACAGAAACAACTAATCCGATTACCTGACAGAGTAAGCTTTCAAATAAATGCATGTAAAATAATCGATCTTGTCCTTGCAACTTCACCTTAACAATACATGCACTTAATAGTATATTCCCGAAAATGGAAGTGTAGACCCTCAGTATCTATATAACCAGTGTATACGTACTATAATGATTTTCTTCAAACTCATCTATGAAATTCCTACATATATGTGTCATTTTTAATTAGGGCAAACCTCCATTATATAGCATGTTTACGTCGACGATGAGTGTTAATTATATCTGGGGTCAAATCAGACTGAATATTAAATTCATATTTACATCTAGCCAAGTGGAACAACACGCTCTTCCTCTATATACTTATTCAGTATACATTCAGTATACTGAATCATTCACTTGTGTAATACTGGTATAAATGCATAGATATATATTTCACGAGATGAAAGTGGATGGAATATATTTCAATACCGTCTGCGGTGAGAGAAAAAAAAACTACTGACGGAATGTGTTGCAAAATTCAAAAGCAGGGTCTGTTCCCATTTTGCAGAGTGAACTATGAATACCAAAGGTAAATAAATCGATAGTAATTGCTTTGGTTGTTTCTTCGTGCGTGTGCGCGCGCGTGCGCGCGCGTGCGTGTGTGTATGTTTTCCCCAATAGACACCGTACTACTATCCTTGGATAGTAAATGGAATTTTTGTTGTGTGACCGACTGAAAGTTGCTTCGGTGTGAACAGACCATACGTTCAATACATGTAAAGGGAATAGAACGTCAATGGATTACGCAGGTATATTACGTTGTTGACATCATATTTATGAAAATAACAAAACCTATATTATTTCCTCTAGTAACGTTCAAAGAGCACGTGCAGCCATGTAAGAGAAGCACAAATAACTACGCTATTATGAATAATATATGGAATTTATGTATCTCCAACATTGTGTGTGACATATTTACAGAAACAACGTCATCAGCTATCATCAGCTGTGCTCACACGCACACGCGCATAAGTGGACACACACGCATACGCATGGCCGTCAGATGACTTTTTTCTCTGAAAAAGGTGTACTGTTTTGGGAGTCACACCTACTGCCGGAATGTCCCACACTCCGCCTGAACCGACAAACTTATAAACTGGCAGGCGATGATGTCATCTTCGTTTATTCAGTAAAGAAAACTTCTATTGAACGCCATACTAATGGCATGGATCTTAAGGGATTACATGGTGTCCCGAAGTTATGGAGTTAACGTTGATCTGTAGTATGAATTTTCTATAAAAGGCCACTGCAGTAAAAAGAGAAATCAGACAACCGAGAGTGTGTGTGCGTGCGTGCGTGCGTGTGCGTAGTCTACTTGCATGCATTATGTGTGTACTTTTCTCCCTTTTATTCTTTATAAGAAGTAACTGTACAAAAACCTAAGAAACAGCCGCCTTATAAAGAGAATTAAAGAAACGCTTTTTAATCATTCTAAATCTGAATGGGTGCATTTGATATACAATGCGAATCGTTTATAGTGTGATTTATTATGTAACATTGGCATTTCTAATCGATTAATTATTTAAATATTTTGCTTAATGCAAATTGTGCAGAGAATAAGAACACGCTCCCGTGGGCAAGAAGGAATAGCTTTCATATATTATTCATAATGAAAATACGTCTCCCGAATAACATTTTCTCTTGCGTCGTTGCGTTCTACCCAGTATGTTCAGCGGGCACTAAATTTTCTGAAGTCAATTTACAATATGGTCATAAGGTTATTGTGATCACTTCATACTCATCAAAATTTCCATTCTTTTAACAAAACTGAATTATAATACTGCCAAATGTAAACACTGATTATTCTTGTAGACCAGAAAAACTACATGTATGCCCTACTCACCAAACCCGATGTCGATGGGACCAACTGGGGTTCTAGACTCCCAGAAGTTGTCTGAGCAAACATACACAATAGCTTGCCATCATTGTGTGCGAAACAATGGGTCTGTTAGAGATGAAATTCCTTAGGTTTCTCTTTAACGCGAATGTAATAGAAACTGCATAAGAAAGACTTACTTACTGATAGAACAAATCAGATATTAAGGTATTCCTCGTTGTCTGAGAGATCGGTAGTACCTCGCAGCTGAGCGAATATACTAGTATATCAACCTCATGGTTTATCTTGGACAAGACACTAACATGCTTTTTTACGCACTTACCTATATATTATCATAAGCACAGACTTCCCTACCTTTTCAGCGTAGCAACGTGTTTCATTCTAAATCCACCAAACTAACATATGTGACATACGCTCAAGTGCTATTCAAAGGATTGTTATGTCAAGTACAATGGAATACTTACGGACCGTGCGCACGCGCTGAAGTCAGTTGAGTACTATACGGTTGTGGTGGTGGTGGTGGTGG